CAACAGCACTAAAAAGGGATTTACGACCGTTTTTCACACTTATGACCGTTGCAGCATCCCCACGGTCCTATGATTTACATTCGGATGCTTGGCAAGTGGTTCATACTTAGGAAGGTTGAAGTGTCCCGGGGGTCATGTGATCCCCTTTTACGACCCTCTGACAAGCAAAGTCCACAGGGAAGCCATATTCACTTAACAATCATGCGGTTAATTTAACCACTGCAGCGATTCACTTAACACAGACATGTCAAACACAAGGCCCGGGGGCCGGATGCAGCCCGCGAAGTGGTTTCATGTGGCCCGCGAAGCCATCCTGGAAACAGTGAGGGAATATCCCCCGCTGCCTGGGGATCGGGAGCCAATGTACAATTTTGTGGTGGCCATCTATGTTGAAACACATTCAGTCTTAGCTCCACTAGGCTGTCTGGAAACTGAGGAACCAGCCCCTGCCGCGTCAGCCCCACCCCCTGGGTGCATGCTGGGGGGGGTGCATGCTGTGAGGAATGAAGAAATGCACCATCGCCTGGAAGTGGCCAGCAAATGGCCCTTGCCTACTTCACATATCCGGCTTGATGGGCTCTGGGGGAGGGGTTTTGGCAGGCAGCGGGGCGCTCTCCTCACAGCACCGAGAGGCTGAGCCGGGCGGCGCAAATCCAGAAAGAAATGTGAGGCAGCCCAGCTCCCAGCCTGCCCGGTTTCAGCAGGCAGCGGGGCACTCTCCTTACAGCGCCAAGAGTTGAGCTGGGTGGCGCGAATCTGATGAGAAGTGCAATGCTGCCTAGCCCCCAGCCTGCCCAGTTTCAGCAGGCAGCAAGGTGCAAAGTTGATGAGCTTCGCACTGCCCGGCTCAACCTCTCGGCACTGTGAGGAGAGTGCCCCGCTGCCTACCGAAAACACACGCACCCAGTAGGCCACACCCACCCCATCCACGCCACCCAGTAGGCTACACCCACCCTGGCCACACACCCCCGCCCCCCCAAGGGCAACCGCAATGCTGATGCGGCCCTCAAAGAAATTGAGCTTGACACCCCTGACTTAACAGATGTGGCAAGAAAGGTCGTAAAATGGGACAAAGCTCACTTAACCACTGTCTCACTTAGCCACATAAATTCTGGGCTCAATTGTGGTCGTAAGTTGAGGACTACCTGTACTTAACAAAGGTGGTTTCCATAGCATCCCATTCCTCATTTGAATTAGATAAAAGCTATTTACTAATGTTGCGTCCCTCACAGTCCGATGCCTGAGTGGTTATTGGGAACATGCTTACACAAGCAAAGGTGAGCTATTGCAGATCCCAACCAGGGCAACAGCAGACTAAGCTGTTCATTTCTGGAAAAGTCAACAGCAGAGGTATGCTGTCACTTAGAAAGTACCTCTAAGCTTGTTAAAGTACATTAAACAAGTTGTGCTTGCAGAGTGCAGCTGCTTCACTTATTAAAACTGTCTGTTTCTTGAAGGGACAGACTTCATTGGCCGCAGTCCCAAAATAATGAGTCTCATTTAACTCTAATTAGAATTAGAATTCTTTTATTGGCCAAGTATGATTGGCCAAGGAATTTGTCTGCGGTGCATAAGCTCTCAATGTACTTGCAAGCAACAAGTGATAAATCATGATTATAATCATAAAATACATTCATCATAAATCATAAGATACAACGCTCAGTCATAGGATACTAAATAAGCAATCAACATAAATCATACTAGATACTAAACAAAACAATATACATTGTAAGATACAAGCAACAAAGTTTTAGTCATAAGAAGATAAGGAAATAGTAATAGGAAATATGAGAAAGATAATAGTAATACAGCCCTAGTAGGTAATATTGTGGGAACTGGTTGTTTAGTAGAGTGATGGCTGGTTGTTTTGTATAGCATTTAACACTAGCATTTATTTATAGCATTTAACCCTAATTGAAACAAGCTATATTGTTTTAAACTGAACCTTAGCATATGTAAGTACATTTGAAATAGCAATTTTCTTCTAGTAGTCTACTTCCTTCATTTTAGCATAAGACTAGGGCATGTTTTCATATTTGTGTTTATACATTCATAAATGAATTTTGAGAACAGCTCTGGAAACAGTCAAAAAGAATTAAAAAAACCCCGGAATAAAACACAGTACTTTATTTTGGGAAATATCATTAAAGAAATTGTCCTTGCTATTTTGATTCCTTTGTATAGCATTTCTTAGTACGGTTCAACAGCAGTAACAGAGAACCAGACATTCTGCAAAGCAACACAGACAACAGAAGGAACTGGGAAATGGATGTATCAAATTTTATAGTGTTGAAAATGCTGTAACTGATCAAAAGCTGGCAGGATGTACAAACTCTGAGCTCCGTTGCCCAACTAGAAACCTTGAGCAGATAATCCTCAATTTACAATTCAAATTGGATCTGGAATTATGGTTGTAAGTCTTTGCGGATGTAAGTTGAGGCATTATGTGACTGGATTTGAAGTAGCTATTTTGGGGGGGGGTTTACGATAGTTAAGTGAATGCAGTAGTGATTAAGTGAATCCATTTTCTCAAATAAGTATTCTGTTGACAGAAACCAGACATAAATGGTAACTGGCAAAAAAAAATAAAAAATAAAAAAATCATGGTCATGTGACTACAGGACACTTCAAACGGCTGTAAAGGTGAGCCAGTTGTCCAATGCCCAAAATGCCCTCACATGATGGCACATGACATAGATCAAGGGTAGGCAACCTTGGCTCTTTTATGACTCATGGACTTCACCTCCCAGAATTCCTGAGCCAGCCACGCTGAGGGGAAAGGGAGAGGTTTCCAAGCTGAGCCATGCTGGCTCAGGAATTCTGGGAGTTGAAGTCCACGAGTCATAAAAGAGCCGAGGTTGCCTACCCCTGACATAGACTGTATGTATGGCTGTTGTAACCAGGAAACTGGGCTGTAGCTATGAGGAGGGTTTGTTGCAGTGGTGGGATTCAAACATGTGAACAACCGGTTCTCTGTGTGGATGCCGCTTCCGGATGTCCGTTCTGGGCCTGGGCGACAAAAAATTAGCTACCGGTTCTGCCGAAGTGGTGCGAAACGGCTGAATCCCACCACTGGTCTGTTGTAATTTCAAATGGTCCCAAAAGAATATTTGTAGCACAGGGTTGAAGAGGAGAGGTCCTTGGGGGCTCTCCCTTGCAGACATTTCATATTGTTTACTGCTTGGTGTTAATCTCTACTTATCTGGGCATTTGATTGCTGATCAGGAGGTGTTGTGGCCTTTTGATGGTCTCTTCTGAATGGTATGTTATTTATTTCTGGGTGCCTGTTTATGGCTGATACGCCTGAGTGCCAGCCTTCCAGGAATTCTCTAACATTTTGGAGTTAGCTTGGCTAGGATGCGTACTCTTGAAACAACGGTTAAGTCTGTCCATGTGTTGTGCAGATAAGGAGTTTTCATCATGTGTTCATCATATGTTCTGATTGCTGGTTAGTGTTGTTGGGTCTGCATGTACCATCAAACTTGTTGACGAGAAACAATACATAAGGATGCCCAGACCACAAAGCTGTTTATTTTATCTAACACTGTTTTCATTTTTAAGATGTACAGTCGACTGAGTTCACATGTGGTTCTAATTTAAAACATAAGGAGGTATTTTTGTTTTGGACTTAATGTGTTATGCAAAATAAACTATTGCGGTTTGGGTACTATAGTGTGTGACTTACTGCAGTGTATGACCCCAGCCTTCTCTGGCTTATTCAACAAGACGGGCTTAAAACATGTTTTTCTGTTTGATCACCTCACCCCCCCCCAAATTAACCTAATAAGTTTGTATCTGGCTGCAAACTCATTATGGGAAATAATTCTTACATGTTGTTTTGCTAATGCCTGCCGATTCAATCATGTGTAAGTTCAGTTTTACATATAATATGCTTGGCATTCCATTGAGTTACATGCGTAGACAATTAAACAATTATCATTCTTTATCGCTGTATGAAGTTACAGGTTTTTAAAAAAAACATTTCCAACATTTTATTCATAATGGCATGAAATTGAGCAAAAAAAAAATTGTTGACGCATTGTTGAGTAGAAGAATAAATTTGTTACTTAACTCTCTTCTTCAACCCTTTCTCTCTGCAGAGCTCCTGTCTTTATGAGAGATTTTATAAAGTAGCAAAATTGGAGAGAGACAATTAATGAGAATTTCCCAAAACCTTCTGAAATGGCTCTCTGTATTACTTCAAGATGTTTTTTATGGGTGTAGAACAGCTCTTATGTTTGCAGTATTGTAATTCCTTTGGTAACTTGGAATGTAAAATAAAGGATTTTATCTTCTGGAAGAAGAAAAGCAGTGATTGGTGCTCAAGGCACATGAAATAGATGATATAGAATAAGTGCGTAAGAGAAGTACGGTCACATTCCCTTCATCCAATTTCTGGTATAATTCTTCCATGATAGCAGCCATAGATTCTTGAGAAGTTGGCACATAGTGGCCCTTTTAGTGCTGGTGGAATCCAACTTTCCGTCAAGGAAGTGACGATTAACCCTCCCAGGCTTATTCATCTCCCAGTCCCCATCCTGCTATCTTCAGTTGAGATAAAGAGTCCAAACCTTAAGGCAGGGGTCTTCAAACTTGGCCCTTTTATGACTTGTGGACTTCAACTCCTAGAATTCCTCAGCCAGCCACGCTGGCTGAGGAATTCTGGGAGTTGAAGTCCACAAGTCATAAAAGGGCCAAGTTTGAAGACCCCTGCCTTAAGGGATAAATCTCACTGAATGCAATGGGACACTCAGTTTATAACTGAGTTTGCGTTGAATTGTGCAGATAATAGCTACAGGGATAAGTAAAAGTGCATACAAATTTCATCTTAGTCAATGTAACATGATAATTCTGAAGGTCATCATCATACCTGCTAATGTGCATTTCTAATAATTAGCTATATTGACAATTCTAATCCTGGAATAAGGAAATAGTGTTTAGCAGAGCCTCTAAGCATACATAAGATGTGTTATGCCACTTAATAATTTATTTAGTAATATGCAAAAAAATTAAGATCATCAAATACGTACAGATCACTTGGCTGGAAATTTTGTAACGCCTAGAAGTGTCACGTTACTTGTGGCAACTGGGAGGTTGTAGAACTAGAAAATGCTTACAAATGAGAAAGCATTTGCAGGAGTAGCTACTAAGACTACTATAGGTATTCAGAATGGTCCATAAATAATGCATTTATAGTAAATGATTATTTTGTTCTTGGATGAAAGGCCTAGCTACTTTGAAAATAGTTATCTTCTTTTGGCACCAAATTAAACAAAATAATAGATCCCAGGGCAATATTTTTTTCCCATTTGGAACATTTCTATTTCCTTTTGCTCCAACTGGGATCAAAGAAGTCCTAGGGGGAAAGTTTACCTCAGTTTTGCTCTTGAACTTTTATACTGGATATTGGTTTGATTAAATTGAGTTATGAACTCACACTGTGTCAAACAGTTTCCTTCTGCAGACTTTATTTTTCATGTACGAGAAATATTATATTCACGTATTTTGTTTTTTAAAATTTTCTTTCATCCAACAAGATAAACATCTGGTGGAAATATATTCACTGCAATGATTCAAATATGAGCAGACACAATTTGTCTAGGTAGTTTATTGACAAGAAAAAGATAAAACTAAAATTCTCACTTAATAATAACAAACTACATGTCTGAAACTATTCCGGGCATATAAATATAAATATAAAGTACGTTGCAAAATACATTCCTTAAGTAACATTATCACATTAAAACAATACATAAAGAGATGTGATAACATATATTGAATATGACCCCATCGTTCATTATATTTATAGAATCAGATTTTAGATGATTACCTTTAGAAACTCAAATTACAGCTGTTGAGTTTTATTACCTTAATGTTTGCCTGTGTCTATAAGGGTTAATTTCCAATATTGTGGCTAGATGTGCATTAGATATCTTTTCCCTTATTAAGGAAGAAGGACAACAGAGCAATAACAATTCTACAGATTTGTGGTAAATTGGAATGGAACAGAACAGAACAGTTATAAGGGACCTTGGCCTTTTAGTCTAACCACCTGCTCAGACAGGATACCCTATACCAGACATGTCAAACACAAGGCCCGGGGGCCGGATGCGGCCCGCGAAGTGGTTTCATGTGGCCCGCGAAGCCATCCTGGAAACAGTGAAGGAACGACCCCTGCTGCCTTGGCCCAGGCCCAGGCCGGCCGGGAGGGAGCCAATGTACAATTTTGTGGTGGCCATCTATGCTGAAACGCATTCAGTCTTAGCTCCACACAGGCCGTCTGGAAACAGCGAGGAACCAGCCTCTGCCGTGTCGGCCCCACCCTCTGGGTGCATGCTGGGGAGATGTCACCCTTTGTGAGGAATGAAGAAATGGACCATGCCTTGGCGCTTGCCCCGGTCCCACCCTCTTCTGCCAGAGACCCTCAGATCTGTCCCACTCCTGCCCAGGCCTCCACAAGCACCATTGACGCGAACGATGTAGAGCTGGCCATGCCCACCAAGTAGGTCACACCCACTCCATCCACGCCCACTCAGTAGGCCGCACCCATCCTGGCCACACACCCCCGGCCCCTCCGAGGGCAACCGCAATGCTGATGCGGCCCTCAATGAAATTGAGTTTGACACCCCTGCTTTAAAGCTTGTTACACATAAAATATTAACTTAAACATCTAAATACCTCAATAGACAACATGGTTGAAATAAATGTTATCCATTTGTTAATGCAAAACAATCATAAAGCAGTCTATTAAGAAAACTACTTGCAAAGTTGAGTATAAATGGAAGGTTGGGGGGAGGAGGAGGAGGAGGAATAGATATAAAAATTAGTAGTATGTTTAAAAGACCTCACTCTATATAAGGTTTAAAAAGTACTCTTGCAAGTATCAAATGTTTCTAGTTAAACTAAAACCGCAATCTTTTATACCTTATTTGGGACAATGAACTTTAACAGGACTTTATTTTCTGAGTGGATATTGATAGACTTGTACAAGAAATGATTTTTTGGTTAAGTTTTAATAATAATAATAATAATAATAATAATAATAATAATAATAATAATAATAATAATAGTAATAAAGTTGGAAGGGACCTTGGAGGTCATCTAGATTTTGCAGTACGAGGGGAAAGGGGGAGTAGCCCCCCTTTCGAAGGGGAAAGGATAGCATCAGGTAATAAAATAACATAGTTGTTAAGATGGCTGCTTCCTATATTTTGAACCTTCTAGTGACTTTTCACTTCTGGTAAACTCTTGCTGTTAGTCTCTGTCACAAATACGTTCTTATTTTGCAGGTTTGTGCATAAACATCAATTACACCCAGTGTGAAATGCTGCCATATAACCAGACTACTTTAAGATCAGTTCTTTCCATTGTGAGGAGCATTGAAATGGAAAAATTTCTCAAGTTCTTTGGTTATCTCAACCGCCTCGGCTGTTATCAACACATTATGCTGTTTGGATGTAGCCTCGCTCTTCCTCAGTGCATCAGAGATGGTGAGAACAGGTAAACAAAGCTAGTTAGTGATTAAAGATGGTTACAGCAGATATAGCATACTTAATTATGACAAGTGCAGTAGGTGTTCAGCTTTACAACCTCTGAGAGGAAAAAAGACTGTATACCAGAAGATTATCAGAAAAAAATAGCTGCAAGGAGTATATATAATATGTTTGTTAAGGAAAAAACCTATTTGTCGTATTATACTATCCTGAATAAAGCAAGTTCATTGACTAATCTTATTAGGGATTATGGGTTGTGATTTTGGCACAAATCCCCATTTAATTTAAAAACAAAATGAATTATGTAGCATTTTGAGAAAGTTTTATTGAAACCCCACCCTTGCCTTCAGCATAAGTGAATTATTTCCTATCTGAATTAGTTGTTTTATAGTTGGGTGGAACTATTGTACCTTTTAATAGGTACACTTCAGAGTGTTCACATTCTTACATTAGTGCTAATCACAGGATTTCTTGGCCTGCCAAGTTCAGCAAAAGAGTTCAGAATAAAAATAAATACAAGGCCACATGCCGGGAGTAGAATTGATAGGCAATTTCTATCTTTGTCGTAGTGTGGTCCAAGTTTGAAGTACAGTGGCAAAGCATAATGCATTATCAGGCCCCAGCAAAGTGACTAGGCTTCTGGAAAAGCAGAGAAGATGGAGTGGAGTGGAGTAGAGTAGAGTAGAGTAGAGTAGAGTAGAGTAGAGTAGAGTAGAGTAGAGTAGAGTAGAATAGAAATAGAAATAGAAATAGAAATAGAAATAGAAATAGAAATAGAAATAGAAATAGAAATAGAAATAGATAAATTAATAGAATAGATCAGAGGTCCCCAACCTTTTGGACACCAGGAACCGGTTCCGTGGAGAAAGGTTTTGTGTGCTGCCTGCATCTCACATATGGGGCTTTGCTTGTTTGTGCGAACCGGTTGTTGGCATGCCCACGGCCCAGTACCAGTCCATGGACCGGGGGTTGGGGACCCCTGGAATAAATAAATTAATAAAAATAGATAAAAAAATTTCAGATGCTTGGCAACTGATTGATGACGGTTGCAGTATATCCCAGGGTCATGTGATCACCTTTTGCAAATTCATTGGGAAAGCCAAATTCACTTAACAAACGTGTTACTAATTTAACAACTGCTGTGATTCACGTAACAACTGTGGCAAGAAAAATTGTGAAATGGGGCAAAATTCATTTAACATATGTCTTACTCAGCAATAGAAATTTTGGGCTTAATTTTGGTCATAAGTTGAGGACTGCCTGTATTCTGCTCCTGAATAGACCATCTCCCATACGGAGTTTTTCATGTAACCCGCCTTTCTCCACTCCTCAGCTGTTTGGCTTTTAATCTAGTAGTGTTGGTGCTTTTAATCTAGTAGTGTTGGTGCTCTTTTGGGCCAATCAAACCACCACATGAGTACAGAGTCTACTCTTGTAGAATTAGCCGCAGCAAGGTATGATTCTGTCTCATCTTTGATAACAAAGTCTGGTTCCTCCTAATAGCTATGCTTGCCTGCCCTTCCTCATGTCAAATTTCTTGACATTTGCTTCAATGAAGAAGCAAATGTTAAGAAATTTTGGGAATACACACCATGCATTATTTTGAACAAGCCCCAGTGTATTATCTATGGAATAGACAGCAACAGTTCAGAAAGCCATAGTTCTCTTCTGCTATTCTGGAGCATTCTGGGATACTCATATTAAGAACATCTACCACTGTCATGGAAGCAAAGGTTGCAGCAAGTTGTGTTCTATATGTTATTAGTGAATCTCAAAGTGAAAAATACTTGCTCGTTTGCCACACAATTAGCACCGAATGACAAACAACATCTTTATGCAATTATTCGTTTTTATATGATTAATGGAATGTTCCTCAGTGCAATCCCCATGATTGCACAGAGAAATTAAGTACAATTTCATCATGCCTGTGCCGACATTTTGTCACATAATACAAAGACTTTTTTAGGATAAAATGCCTGGAAGTTCTTTAAAGTGTTTCATTAGTCGGAACCATGACAATTGTACTTACAGTGAAGATTTTGTCCTGGTATTCATCGTTTGTTTGGTACTCAATGAATGCACAAGCTAGAACCTGTCGGTGTCAGCTCTCTTGTGACTCACTACATTATTCCTTTTGGGGAAAATTTGTTTGGTATTCATTGTTTTTGGTATTCATCGTGCCTCCCAGAACCAATTAATGATGAGTACGAAGGCACCAGTGTATTTGGATATTATCCAGAGTTGTCCATCTGAATTCACTGGAGCTAACTTCCCGGTGTGTAGATTTGGGATTGTTGCATATTTGTCATGTGGAGATCAGATTTTTTTTTAAATGTTCGTAAATTGTGACTTCTTCTTTCTCTATCTTGGGACGATATCCTACCAGAACACCAATTCTTGTCTCTCCTAGCAAGCAGCCTTTGTGTTTCAGACTCACTGATGTGGGTGAGTCAGTCATCAGTCATTAAACATGTTCGTTTAGATTAAAAAAAAAAGTGACAGAGTTAAAACTCTCTGGGCTCCAAGCTGTGAAAATTCTAGAAAGAGCAGAGAGAAGAGCAACAAAGATGATTAGGGGACTGGAGGCTAAAACATATAAGGAACAGTTGCTGGAATTATGTCTAGTTTAATGAAGAGAGGGACGAGGGGGGACATGATAGCAATGTTCCAATATCTCAGGGGCTGCCACTTTCTTCTCCCTCAGTTCGATAAGAGGTTTCGCGGACTTCCGTCCTGTTCTTCGTTACCCACCTTTGATTAGTTCCTCTCTTCGTTGGATCTTGATTCCTCTTTGAAGGACTGTCAATCTTGTTAATTGGTCACCTTGTTGGACGGAGGTCTTCGCCACTTACGAGGTTGTGACCTTCAAAAATTCTTCTCTGACGACATCCATTTGTCCAAAATGGTATAGGGTTTCCTGCCTGAGCAGGGGGTTGGACTAGATGATCTCCAAGGTCTCTTCCAACTTTTTTATTATTATTATTATTATTATTATTATTATTATTATTATTATTATTATTATTATTATTATTATTATTATTATTATTATTGGCAGGCGGGAGAGAAACACGCGCACACACACATGTCTTGTTTCTGCTGCAACAGCAAAGAGTTTAAGCCCCATGGGGTCTCATCTCATTTCAGTCGTAGCAAAAAAATATCTCTCTGATTGAGGAGAAGAAGAAGGGGCCACCACTGACAGAACAATAGCTAAATTTGAAGTGACAACCGAGGAAGAGTTGGTGTAGCAGCAGTAACACCATCTATTTCAGTGGTGGCGAACCTATGGTACAGGTGCCAGAGGCGGCACTCAGAGCCCTCTCTGTGGGCATGCGTGCCGTCACCCTAGTCCTAGGCCTTCAGCTGGGTTTTATAAAACCTTTTCGCTTTAGGCCTCCGCTGCCATGTACAAAAAAAAAAGGTTCAATCAATCAGTCAATTTCAACTTCTTGCAGGAAAAAAAAGATCTTGCAAAGTTGGAATTGATTGAACTTTTTAGTCCCACCCAGTCTGCTGTTACCACTGCAGCCACGCCCACCCAATGGGCCACACTCACCTGGCACCCAATGATGCATAAGTGGGTTTTGGGTTGCAGTTTGGGCATTCTGTCTCTAAAAGGTTTGCCATCACTGGTCTATTTCCTTCCTTCGTTTTGTATCCTTCTTCCTCTATGGCTCCTCTCAGGTCTGTAAAATATGGTATTTAAGATTGAAGCAATGGAGCAAAAGAAAGGTTGGAGTCTTATCTGCCATCTCCTCCTTCACAATTTTTATGCTCCAGTACAGAAATCAGCAAATTTCAACTTTTCTTACTGGCCAGACAAAGTTAATTCTTTTATAAATACAGTAACCTATTTTTTTTTAAATGAATTTCATTGTTTAAAAATGTGTGGATACCGTACTCTTCAGATACCAGAATTTGAATTAGAAAATGAAATATTAAAGATTAAGCAAATTTGACCTGAACATATTTTTTCTTCTAAATCTCATGTGCAAAAAAGTTGGGATATTTTATAACTTTTAAAAAACTAGTTGATAAAATATTTTATGTCTGATTTGATATTATGATTTATCTGCTAATTGATTATAATATTCAGAATGCGAATAGTTAACTGTGACTGATAGAATCGAACGTTGGAGAATGTATATCACAGACAATCCCATTCTTACATCTCATAACTTTGATATGTATTTATGCTTTCTGGCACAAATGAAAAAATGATTTTAGTAAGTCTAACATGTATTAAGATTTATATTTATCATTGTTTTAGAAAATTAGGCTAGAAGCATTTCAACCTGAGATCAAGCAATGAAGCAGAATTATGATCATAATTGACAGTAGGAAGTTTCTTTAGCATGATGGTCCATAGATGTTTTGGGACCATCTTACAAAATTCCTAACAATTAACAGTCAAAGGAGTCTAGAATTCTTGGAATTATGATCATATTTATACACATGGAGCATATTATACTGGGAAAGATTGATGTGTAGCATATGAAAAATCATAAGAACATCTGCTAAACTGATAAAAAAAATCAGATTTTTCTTAAATGATATATTGACCACACTCCAAAGAATTAAAGCTTAACCACCGTCTTAATAACCACGTAACAAGTCTATACGCATTCAGAATTAATCAAAGGATGACTGTTTTATTTCAGTAATTAAATATAAATAGTAAAAACATAATGTTTTAAAATAAAGGAGACTCCCACCACTTGTTCCTGTGAAATATCAGAACCATGATTTAAAGTTGTCAAAAAATGGTGTTGAAGTGACAAATGAGGACCACATCAACATTAACGTTATAAAAAGCTTCTTAAAGTGCCTGGGAATTAGGATATGTGTCAGATAAAGAGGAGAAGTTAAGTGATAAGGGCTGCTGTCAAGGAAGCATTGTATGTTAAATGGGGAACTGGTTTCCAGATATGGGAGTCTGCAGATAAAATATTGCTTCTAACTATAATAACCAAAACATACATTAGTATGAGTAATTTAATTCTTTAG